ATATATATATATATATATATATATATATAGAGAGAGAGAGAGAGAGAGAGAGAGAGAGAGATAAGAGAGACATTAGGGGGTGTAGGAAGGATTTGATTTTGACCAATTTGGTCTAGCGTGCTGCCTCGTTGAGCCTTGTTTTGTAGTGTAGGAATAGGTTGGAAGAAAGCTAGGGGCGGCCAAACCAAAACATGGCACAAATCCATGAAGTCATTGACTACCTGTTTGGGGTCCGCGAGATGATAATAATCGATGGCTAGAGACCTTGAATGACATGGCTCAAAATCGTTCGCAATGGCACCGGTGCATTTATTCTTTGTATTCTCTCAAATCCTAATCTTCTTGATTCTTCAACCCCCCTAGTTTCGACTCTAAACTTTTCTCACTGAATCATGCTTCTTGAGTAGTATCTTCTAATCCTAACCTCTCCGATTACTTCTAATACCTTTACTACCTCTTCGACTATCGGATTTGAATTGACGATTACTTCTCTGTGCTGATGTGGTATGGCGACATGAACTGATGTACTTATGTACAAAGTTCTACGTTGCATCTGACTGATATATATATATATATATATTATATGAGACTGATCAATTGAAGTCTCAATGATCAATGGAGAAGATTTAAACTATTAATACAAATGTATTAGGTCGTCAAATATCAGAAGAAGAAAAAAAACAGTAATGCAAGTACAGTAGTAAAAACCTATCAATGGATTTTACTTTTAATCGATACAATTACATATTATATATTTCTCTGGTCATATTGCTCTATATCAGCATTGAAATAGTCAACCATTTGTTGTCATTTTCTCAAGTTTTTTTAATTTTTGTTTCCAAACTTTGTACTGTAGATTTCAAGCTTAACACAATCATGATCAAATTGAATGAATCAGTCAAAAAGCTGCATCTTGTATTAAAAAACAACAACAGATAACTAGTATTTTAATAAACTACATTTGTTTTTATAATTTTTAATACATTTATATGGAATGTACTACTACGCATTGGAATTGTCTTGATTCATATATCGAAGTAAAGCAGTACTTATTAATTACTACTTCTCTATAGAGCTCGACTAATTGGGTGTTTAGAAGTTAACAATGGTGGTATTATTATAACCATATATATATATATATATATATATATATATATATATATATATATATATATATATATATATATATATATATATATATATATATATATATATATATATATAACATCTTTTTAAGTAGTGAAAAGGAATATTTCAATTCAAAGTTTAAAGGTATTCATTCATTCATTCATAAAACCGGCCAACAAAATAAAAAAGCAAACAAGAATTGAAAATCTTTTCTAGAAATTCCATCCATTGAAGCTAAAACATTTCGCTCTTAACACAAAAAAAATAATAATTCCTTAGATATCTTTGACGAAACAATACATCGTGCATGTATCATTTCACAATTTCAATGTCTACTGTATAGTCTTGCAATGAAGTTGCAAATCAACCTCCATCGAATTTCATACGTATACCTCATCATCATCGTTATCATCAACAGCAACGTAGAACTTTGCACGTAAGTACAGTAGTTCAAGTTGACATACCTGGTTAGCACAGAGATATGATTGTCAATTCAAATCCCATAGAAGTAGAGGTAGTAAAAGTGTTAGAAAGGGTTAAAGAGATTAGGGTTCGAAGATGTTATTCAAGAAGTATAATTCAGTGAGGTAAATTTAGAAAGAGAAAGATAGAGATGATGAGGAATCTAGGTTAGAATTTCATAGAACACAAAGAGTGGATGCACCTGCGCCATTGCAAACGATTTTGAGCCATGTCATCCAGGGTCTCTAACCATCGATTATTATCATCTCGCGGACCCCAACCAGGTAGTCGACACCGACCAACATGAATCAATCCACTTCTCAGTGACTTTATGGATTTCTGCCATTTTTTGGTTTGGCCACCCCTAGCTTTCTTCCAACCTATTCCCGCACTACAAAACAAAGCTCGATGAGGCAGTCGGTGGTTAGGCATTCGTAACACATATCCCAACCACTTCAACTGATGAACTTTCATTACTTCATCCATTGTCCTTCCATCCTTACCTAGCACCCGTACACCTACCTACCTACTATAGAGCTAAAACTCAATAATCTAGCCAATTACATTACAACAAAATAGATTACATGTTTAAACACACCTTTTTATTTTTTTAATTTTAATACTTGTCAAATATAATCCAACTAATAAATAGCATAGAATAATTAAAATCAATCATAATAATATGCTAGTTTATGACAATTAAGATATTTGGTTTACAAAGCTAAGAAAGAGGCTATGATCAATGAAGTCGAATCATATAGAGAGGACATGATACAAGTATAGATGATGATGGCGCATTATCGCAAATCAATTAAAGTTGGAAATGTAAATTAGTTAATTCTAGCTTCACTGAGAGTGAGGATTAAGCGTCTGTCCCAGGTTCAATCTCTAGTGGAAATCCACAACTGACGAGTCCTATACAATGACAAGACAGATATCGAGCTACTCCTTGGTTTGTCATGGTCATCTAGCTGCAAACTAAAAAAGCAACAATCTTGATAAACGTGTAATTTTTTTTTCTAAAGCGAACATGAATGGAACGAAATCATTCTATTTCCTGAAATGTAAATAGAAATGATTGTCTTAAGATATAAATAAACATGATTCACTTGAAACTATTTCTAATAACTTAACTTTCAAAAAAAAGTAAAGAAATAAACCTAACTAGAGAAAGACAGAAAATCTGAAATGAAAAACAAATATATATATATATATATATATATATATATATATATCACTTTTAATCACATTATCGATAAAAATCATATGAATAAGTGTAAAACTCAAAGAGATTTGATTTTACTGTTTATTTTGATAAACACATAAGAAAACTGTAACACGATCACTGCCGGTTTCAATTTTGAACTATGATTCATCTAATCTCCAACTATTTAATGTGATGTGATTTTTTTTTTGAGATCTCATATAGTAAAACTAAAACCGATATAACTTATTCGTCCGTCATGTCATAAACTTACTTATTAACTACCAACTCGCTTCTAACAGATTAGTACTGATTTCAAAAGACCTGTTCAGTAGAAAACAACTGAGATCTCACATATACCTAAACATTGGAACTGTTGTCTGAAGCCTAGATCGCTAACTCTTTCTATATAATTCTGATAAAGTATCAAAAGTTACTTGAACTATTCTGACAAGCTGAAACTTTAATTTATTTACAGTCCAGCTAATATAAAATGCTTCAATTACTGATTGTGTCAGAAAGGGCATCATCGGTCTTATGACTCCCAAAGGTATTCGACCTTCACAACAACCTTTCATAAACTTCTAACTCTTAATGGCACAGTTCAAATGGTTTTGCTGGTTAGTTGTAAATATATAACAAAACTTATGGATCTTGAAAGTCTCAAAAGTCAATAGATATGAAAACCAGATGAAATTTCTCTAATACTAATAAAACCGTTTCGAAAAAAAAGGAGAAAAAACAGTTGTAAATCATTTTAGAACAAATTAAAATACTTCTAAAATAATATATATATATATATATATATATATATATATATATATATATATATATATATATATATATATATATATATATATATATATATATATATATATATATATATATATATATATATATTAGTTGTGGAAAAAATACCCATCCAAAAGAGTAAACTTATCCACTCGTCCGACTTGTACTATGGATGTATCCCCTAAAATTATACAGACCAATCTGTAGATGATATCTATTTGATCTATCTATCTATCTATTTATTCATCAACTTTTAATCAGTAGTACATATTAGTTTAGAAAAATAAAAATAAATTAAATATTTGCTAATGGTTTATGTTGAGAAAGTGACTCGAAAAAAATGTTTAATGAAAGATTATTTAGATCTATCTATCTATCTATCTATCTATCAATGCTTATTGTGGTTTTATCATTGTGTTATTATCATTGTGAAAATGCTGATTAGTTTCTGTGTTTACCGTTGAGATGAATAACGTGGTTTGCAACTAAGGCTTTCTGTCTCTCTCCCTATGTTTTTTAGGAATGTTAATTATTTACAAATTAGACACCGTTATTACAAATGAGAAATTTTGAATAAAATCATCAACTTGTAATTTATCTCGGTAGAAAAATTTATAAATTACATGAAAATTGTTAAAAGTTAACCCTGTAATGAATGAACTAGGATACACATATTCCTATGTATGTAACCTATCCCTATTTATTTCAATGTTCAAAATATATACAGTATTAATCAGTCAGTCAGTCAGTCAGATGCAATGTAGAACTTCGTACGTAAGTACATCAGTTCATGTTGCCATACCACATCAGCACAGAGACGCAAATGTCAAATCAAATCCAATAGTAGTAGAGGTAGTAATGGAATTAGAAGTAATCGGAGAGGTTAGGGTTAGAAGATTCTATTCAAGAAGTATGATTCAATGAGAAAAGTTTAGAGAGTCGAGACTAGAGGTGTTGAAGAATCCAGAAGATTAGGATTTGAGAGAGAACACAAAGAATAAATGCACCGGCGCCATTGCGAATACAGTATTAAACACTTTTCTGCGTAATTAGTAAGATTTCACTAGTGGGAATTTCATTCCAAGCTCTAAACTTTCACTTCATCTACTTCCTTTTTTTTTCTCATTTGATAAACTGAATTAAGTAACAGTAATGTATATTCATAGAAGATTATATGATGAATAGTCTCAGATGGTAAATTTCCTTCTTTATACACGGTACTCATCCACTAACTAAACAAACAAATAAACGCTTAAAAATGCTAGATATTTACATTTCTATGTAAGATAGAAAAAAAAAGAATAAATATATAACTTCACACATCCTTCAATATGGGGAGTTAGGTTAGAGTTTAACTTCATCATATAGACATAAGTAAATATAAAAATTAAAACAAAAAGTAATATAAACTTACCATGTACTGAATTCTTCCCACTAGTCGTTGTTGTTGTTGTTGTTGATGGTAAAGATGTTTGAGATTGATTTAAAAGTTCTGAAAGATAAGCAGATATCGATGAAATATGTTGTTGAGATTGCTTCAAACTAGACTGTTGTTGTTGTTGAAACTGTTGATGTCCTCCTATTGAATCTTCACATAATTTAGTATTTAGAAGTGTCCCAGTATTTGTATGTTGTTGTTGCTGCTGTTGATGTGTTGGATTGTTATTAATAAGTAAACCAGATTGTGTTAAATGAGGTTTTAACAAACCAAGTAAAGTATATGGTGTAACAGGTGGGACCCATAAAGGTGATTTACATTGTGAATTATCATCTGTTAAATTTACACGTGTTTGACGATTCAAATCCATATCATTGGTGTTTAATAATAAACCATTTGTTGTTTGAGTTAGATTTAAATCAAGAAAAGAAGACGGTATAGTATTTCCCATAATTAGATCAGTGCTAGAATGTGTAATATTTGATCTATCCGTTAATGGTGATGTTAGAAATTGTGATTGCATTGAGTGATGAGGATGATGATGACTCATGACACACGATAACAGATCACAATTAAACTATGGTTTAATAATACCATATGTTCTATGTGACCTGGAAAACAATAATAATTGTTTGTTTTTTTTCATAAATCAATGTGAGAATATATTGTATAACGTGTGTGCTTAAGTTAGGCAGTAGTTGACAACTTGTACAAAATCATATTTAAGACTAAATGACCTAAATTTTGCCAAGGCTAAGCAAATTAACGTTTTTTTTGACAACCAATCCAGACATCAACTCAAAAGCATGACATATTTTTAGTGCTATTTCATGTCTCATAATACAAGCATGTCGATTACATGTATGTCTAGTAAACTACCATTGCTTTAGTTTACAGTATAATATGTGGTGCGTTCATTCTTCAATTTTGTAAACAATTTACATATACTAACAAACGCCTGGCACACGTGTCACTAACTTACATTGGATGTCCAGGCTCCCACAATCTTTTTAAATTTAACCAATCATTTTTTCACCCGCTTAACCAATCCAATGATATCCACCCCCGAGGATTTGATGGGCTGATTAGATCAGGTCTGATCTCGTTTGACCTTCGGAAAGTTGTATGATTGGGCAAGTAAAATGACTAGTCAAGGATATTAATTAGCTGACTATAGTCCAATAAATTTAGGAAATATTTTTTTTAATTGTCTACCGAAAGATTTGGATTACAAAATGGTATATCTCCTACAATAAAAATGAACAGAATTTAGCTAGGGATTCCAGAAAGTGGTTGTAGTATTATCTACTGAGATTTTGATTATTTGAAAACATTTCCGTAAAATAAATATTTATTGGTTAGTAATTACATTAAAAACGGACTCGACCAATTTTTCAATTCATTTTAAACTTTCAGTTACCACATATTAATAACAATAGAGAAGCAAGCTAGAAACTTCAATTTGTTTTATTACTAGGCGTAATATAATATAGGAACCAGTCAGCTTAATATCAATTTGATTTTAACAATAACTAAAAATTCATTAAGCTTCGTTTGGAATGGATTACATAATTCTTATAATTCTGAAATCATAATTAAAATCTAGAGAGCTATAGAAATCCTTGATATTACAGAAACGAAAACGAGCTTAGGGTTTACTATTAATTGTATACAAACTACATGTATATTAGGGTAAAGCCTAATGACGATCTAATTGCAAACAAGTTTGTTCGCTTATATGTGTTGTTATAATTTTCATCAGAACGGGGGACCTTTAATAAATTATTATTCATTGTAGAGCTATGGAGATTGTTTTTATTCATTAAAATCATGAATCAATCATTGTTAGACATCCATTTGAAATCTGGAAGTACTGGATTGTCATTTTTTCCTGGTATGGGACTCATCAGCCATGTGCATCCATTACCCCCACTCATGGGAATCAAACCCAGGGACTTCAGTCTCGTGCGTTACTGCTTTTTTATACAACTTCAATCTCTTTATGATTTAATGCTGTTCTTATCGGTTATGAAAGCACGGTATCAACTGGACAGTTAGGACGCAGCTGGACGATCCGGACTTCGCAGATGACCTGGCTCTTCGATCGCACACTCAACAACAAATGCAAGAGAAGACGACCAGTGTAGCAGCAGCCTCTGCAGCAGTAGGTCTCAACATACATAAAGGAAAAAGCAAAATTCTCCGATGCAACACAACATGCACCAACCAAATCACTCTTCATGGAGATGCCTTGGAGGACGTTAACACCTTTACATATCTTAGCAGCATAATCGACAACCAAGGTGGATCCGATGCAGATGTGAGGGCACGGATTGGCAAAGCGAGGGCTGCATTTCTACAGTTGAAAAATATCTGCAACTCCAAACAACTTTCAACAAAAACCAAAATCAGCATTTTCAATACAAATGTCAAGACAGTTCTACTGTATGGAGCGGAAACTTTCAGAACTACCAAAGCCATCATCCAGAAGATACAAGTGTTTATGAACAGTTGTCTATGCAAAATACTTCGGATTCGTTGGCCAGACACCATCAGCAATGTACTTTGGGAGAAAACAAACCAGATTCCAGTGGAGGAGGAAATGAGGAAGAAGCGGTGGAAGTGGATAGGACACACACTAAGAAAAGCACCTAACTGCGTCACGAGACAAGCCCTCACATGGAACCCTTTAGGCGAAAGGAAAAGAGGAAAGCCAAAGAATACATTACGCCGAGAAATAGAGAAAGATATGAGAGGAATGAACAAACATTGGACAGAACTGGAGAGGGAAGACCAGGACAGAGTTGGTTGGAGAAAACTGGTGGGCTGCCTATGCTCCTTTGGGGGTAACAGGCGAAAGTAAGTTATCGGTTATGAATCTTTGTTGTCTAATATAGTTGAAAACATGGTAAGCTTACCTAAGCACCATCTACTCATATAGAGTAAGTTGACAGAAAGATAAGGTCAGCCAAATCAAAAGTTAACATTGGTTCACATGATCATTGACAATTGATTTGACCCATATTGGTAGATGAAGACTATATGACTGAGGTTAACATGACTGCTACGATAACTGATCAGTGACATTGAATGGTGTTGAAAATCTTTCACAATAACGTAAATACATTCACTACTTAACTGAACTTTTCATTCCACTTTTAAAAAGGTGGTTTTCTTAATGTTTAATCTTTGTCTTTGTCCTTGTTATTACACTACATCAATCCTTTCTGATAAACATCATGATCATGAACATCATTTGATCTGGCTAATGACAACTTGATCCAAGAGATATTTATGCCAATTTCTATGTTGATTACAACTGATTAACCGGAAGACAATTCTTATCCAATATCATCCACTTGCTATTGATTTTATTAAGTCTAACATAATTAACTACACAACTCACAGCTTCCTATTTTTAATAAGGTTATGCGGATGTACAAAATCAGAAGATTAGTATTTTAGTTTCAATAAATAAAATAGTAAGGAATACTGTAGTAAGCTATTTGAACAGAAGCAAACAGGCAAGTGAAGAAGAGCATCAGAGCTGACAAACGAAAATATGTGGAAGATCTAGCAATGACGGTGGAAAAGGCTGCAAGAGAAGGAAACTTGAGACAATTGTACGAAACAACAAAGAAGCTCGCCGGGAACTATCGTAAACCAGAACGACCAGTGAAAAGCAAGGAAGGGAAAGTAATCAGCAACACTGAAGAACAGCGAAATAGGTGGGTAGAGCACTTTAAGGAACTATTGAATCGACCAGCTCCACTGAACCCACCCAACATCGAAGCAGCATCCAAGGACCTCCCAATTAATATTGGCGCACCTACGATTGAGGAGATCAGTATAGCCATCAGACAAATCAAGAGCGGCAAAGCAGCAGGACCAGACAACATTCCAGCAGAGGCAATGAAAGCAGATGTAGAAGCAACTGCGAAAATGTTTTACATCCTCTTGAAGAAGATTTGGGATGAGGAACAAGTACCATCAGATTGGAAAGAAGGATACCTGATCAAAGTACCAAAGAAAGGCGATCTCAGCAAGTGTGAGAACTACAGAGGCATCACTATTCTATCAATAACAGGCAAAGTCTTAAACAGGGTATTGTTAAACAGAATGAAGGACTTCGTAGACGCCCAACTTCGAGATCAACAGGCTGGATTTTATAAGGATCGATCATGTACCGACCAAATTTCGACACTACTGATCACTAAGTAACAATCAGTTGAATGGAATTCACCACTATACGTCAACTTTATCGACTACGAGAAAGCATTCGATAGCGTGGATAGGAAAACACTGTGGAGGCTTCTTCGACACTACGGTGTGCCTGAGAAAATAGTTAACATCATATGGAATTCTTATGATGGATTCAACTGCAAAATCGTGCACGGAGGTCAGCTGACAGACTCTTTTGAGGTGAAGACCGGTGTGGGGCAACGTTGCTTACTCTCACCCTTTCTCTTTCTCCTGGTGATCGACTGGATTATGAAGACGTCGACACCTGGAGGGAAGCACGGTATCAACTGGACAGTTAGGACGCAGCTGGACGATCTGGACTTCGCAGATGACCTGGCTCTTCTATCGCACACTCAACAACAAATGCAAGAGAAGACGACCAGTGTAGCAGCAACCTTTGCAGCAGGTCCCAACATACGTAAAGGAAAAAGCCAAATTCTCCGATGCAACACAACATGCACCAACCAAATCATTCTTGATGGAGATGCCTTGGAAGACGTTAACACCTTTACATATCTTGGCAGCATCATCGACAACCAAGGTGGATCCGATGCAGATGTGAGGGCGCGGATCGACAAAGCAAGGGCTGCGTTTCTACAGTTGAAAAATATCTGGAACTCCAAACAACTTTCAACCAAAACCAAAATCAGGATATTCAATACAAATGTCAAGACAGTTCTACTGTATGGAGCGGAAACTTGGAGAACTACGAAAGGCATCATCCAGAAGATACAAGTATTTATGAACAGTTGTCTATGCAAAATACTTCGTATTCGTTGGCCAGACACCATCAGCAACAACGTACTGTGGGAGAGAACAAACCAGATTCGAGTGGAGGAGGAAATCAGGAAGAAGCGGTGGAAGTGGATAGGACACACACTACGAAATGCATCAAACTGCGTCACGAGACAAGCCCTCACATGGAACCCTCAACGCAAAAGGAAAGGAGGAAGGCCAAGGAACACATTACGCCGAGAAGTAGAGAAAGATATGAGAGGAATGAACAAACATTGGACAGAACTGGAGAGGGAAGCACAGGACAGAGTTGGTTGGAGAAAACTGGTGGGCGGCCTATGCTCCATTGGGGGTAACAGGCGTAAGTAAGTAAGTAAGTATCTGGAAGCCCTGATGCTGCTTCTAGAGGTCTTGCTGGCGTAGGCATAGCATTGAGTCGTAGATCTGAACAATCTCTCCTAGACTGGATCCCAGTAGATAGTCGCTTGTGTGCCGTCCGACTAAACGGGACAGTAAGGATTCGGAAAGATTGGGACACTCGCCGTTGCCTCTTCGTCATATCTGCCTATGCCCCCACTGACTGCAGTTCAGACGAGGTGAAAGATGAGTTTTACAGAAAGCTTTCGGACATCCTCCAGAAAGCTAGGCACTTTGATATAGTCATAATGGCTGGTGACTTTAATGCTCAAGTAGGTAGACTGAGTGAAAATGAAGGACACCTAGGTGGATGTTATGGACGTAGGAAAGACACCGTAAGGAAGCCTCTTAGG